TTTCAACTGCTTGTTCAGCTTCTTTAGCGGCTTCGTCAGCTTTCTTTTGTGATTCTTGAGCAACAGTAGCATCATTATCAGCCTTTTCTTTTGCCTCAGTAGCAATTTTAAGAGCTTTAGCAACTTTTCTTTGAGCAGCTTCAAGAGTAGTTTTAGCTCTTCTTAAAGGTAAATCGTCTTCACTATCAAGTTTAGCTAATTCTTGGATAGCAGCATTCTTAGCAACTAATCCAGCAGTTTCTATCTTCTTTTGAAGTGCTTTTCTTTTATCTTCTTTAGCTTGTTCCTGTGCTTTAACTTCATTTAAAGCTTTTGTAACTTCTTCTTCTGCGGCTTGTGCTTCTTTTTGTCTAGCAGCGGCAGCTTCAGCAGATTTCTTAGAAGCAGTAGCTTTTTCAGCGGCAGCTTCAGCAGATTTCTTAGACTCTTCAGCCTTTTTTTGACATTCTTCTAATTGTTTAGAGACTTCGTCAAGTAATTTTTGGGCTTTATCTAACTCAGCAGTATTGTCACCTTGTGGAGCATTAGCAACTTTATGCCAATCCATGCCATAATAGTAAGTAAGGAAATGAAGCATTCCAACTTTTTTAAAGTTTTCTACTCCAGCTTGTTTTAATTGAGAACGCATTTCTTGAACAGTTTTTTGATTTCCAAGTTTTTCAAAAACACGGTGCATATTTAACTCGTCAAGATCACATCCATTTTCGTGATTCTCAATCTCAAATTCTGAAAACATTTGAGCAAATTTCCATATTTCTTCAGCCACTGTATCTTTATGTGTTGGCCATAAAGCATTTAACATCCAAATGGCTTGTTCTTTAAAACACTTCTTATTAAGAGCTTTGAAGGTTTCTTGATCTCCCATAACTTATAATTTTGACTATATCTTAATAAGATTCACCTTTTTTAAGTTCTTTTCTCATAATAGTTTGACATCAAATTGAACTTTTTAATATTTTATAGATCTTACGAAGAAAAAAGAAAAGAAATCAATTATTCGAAACGAATAGACCAATGAGTCCATTGGGAACTGAAGTGGTTGTTAAAATCAGTAATGACCAATCTACCATTTTCTTGAGTAAATTTAAGTTCAGTTTCTTCACCATCTCTTATAATAAGTGCTTTGGTAAACTTTTTCTCAGTAACTAAAACAAATTCATTAATAAACTCACCATACAAATAATCTCCTTGAACGGTGTAATCAAATGAATAGTTATGCATAGTCATAGTAACAGCAACATAATTATCAGAGTTATCAACACTAATACCATCATCAGTATAGAATTTACCTTCAGCACTTCCCATATTATCATAAATAACAACTCGAAGATAATCATTCTTTTCAGATTCTGATCCAGATTTTCTTCCCTTAGTAACCATTCTCTCAGTAATGATATAACCTCCTCTTCCAAATAATGGGATAGAGTCCAAAGTAACTGGAATTACTAAATTCATTGGTCCATTATATACATTACTATTATTAAAGTAATCGTACCATTTACCTTTAGGAATTTGTACTTGATGATTTGTTTCTCCTTCTTGAATTACTGGTGATGCTAATAAAGCGTCACCAATCATGTATTGATTCTCATTATCAAATAAATCATCTGATTCTGGGAATGAATAATACATTGCTCTAATTACTGGTTTATAATCAACTCTATGATAATACCACAAAGAGTACCAATATGGTAACATTTGATATCTTAAATTAACTGCATATTTTAGTCTATCACTAACACTTTGTTCAAATAACCATGGCTCTCTTCTACTAGCTGTTTGACTAGAATGTTGTCTGAAGAATGGTTGTAATGCACCAGCTTGATACCAACGAATTAATAATTCAGTGGATGGGTTATGAGCAAATCCTCCAACATCTCCACCACATAAAAATCCAAGCATATTAATATTAACTAACTGACTAACTTGACTAGACAAATATTCCCAAGTAGCATCAGAATCTCCAGTCCACATAGCACCATACTTTTGTGAACCAATATAATATGATCTTGTTAAAACAAATGGTCTATACTTATTGTTTGTTCTCTCTAATAATCCTTTTTGGGTAGACATTTGTTGTAACATACCATAAAGGTTATGTACATTTTTGTGAAGAATACCTCCTTTATGAACAGCTTCTTTCTTAACTAATAAGTCTTGTATATCAAATTCAGTTGGCTCATTCATATCGTTCCATGCATAAACTATTTCAGTTGTGTCTTTGTATTTATCAAATGAGTATAATCCAGCCCACCAATTTCTAGCTTCTTCTGATAAGAAATCTACCCAATTAGATTTTAAAGGCCAACACTCACCTGTGTAATCATCAGTATTATTAATACCTTTCTTAATGAAATAATTTCCTTGTTTACCTTCATCATGAACATAATAACCATTGTCTGATGCAATATGACAATCTTGAATTGTGACAAGATATCTATTCTTTGATTTTAATTGTTCTTGTAATTTTAAAGGATGTGGGAAAGATGATCCCCAAGTGAAATATCGTTTACGTTGTGTGTGTTCAATATCAAGCCATAAAGCGTCATACATAAATTCATATTTATCAGCATCATTATCAACACCTTCAACAATAGTTTGAGAGTTATAACCCCATTTACTATTATGGAATCCAAGAGAAAATCTTGGTGGCATAAAAGAAACACCAGTTAATGAATAATAACTCTTAAATAACTCTTGTGGATTTGATTTTGAAATAATAAAGAAAGAAAGATCACTATCTTCTGAAGTAATAAGTAATTTAGCCTTATTGTTATAGAGTTCATGATCAATAAATGTATCTGTTGGATTTGTATATAATACTGCAGTTGATTTACCTCCTTTATGAGATATAAAGACAGGTAAATTACCATATTGTGGGTGAGTAGAATTAACAGGGAATTTAGTATATCCAGAAGCATAAAAATGATATGGCTCAGTAAAAGCTCCTTTAGACTTATCGGTTAAAGGAAGTGGTTGATGTACATTCTTACCAGATCCAAATAATCTTTTAGTTGGAAATTCTACATCAATTCCTACTGGATAATAATCACTTTTAGTATCTTCTCTATAAAGGAATTGTCCAGTACATCCAATGCACAAGTCATTATCAATTACAACTGATGCATTTTTATAAACTGAAAATAAAGTTGTTCCGGCTTTGAAATTAGCTACTTGAGCACTAGAAGATATTAATGTAATTTCTTGTGGTTTAAGAGGTTTATAAGCAGTGTTTGTTGGAATATTAAATCTAACATGTTCAATAGAAGGATAAGTATATCTAATATACAACTGATTATCACCTAATGAAATGATATTTAATTGAATGTTCTTATTTATACTCCAAGTTGGCTTAAGCTTAAATGATAAAATATTATTGGTATATCTATATGAACGTACATCTGCATTATAATGAGAAACAGGTCTAAACCTATTTAAATTACACCATGACCTACTAGAACAAGTAGGAGGTTTATTAGGTATTGCAATGACAAAAGCAATAATAGAGAAGAAAAGGAACATAATAGAATTAAATAAATTCCAGATCAATAAATATTTATAAATTTATTATAACTATTTTATTAATAAAATAATTATAATAATAAAAAGGATTTATTAATTTATTCATAAATTTCATCTATAATTTATCTTGAAGTAATAATATATGACACTTGGCAATAATTTCATCAATAAAATAATAAATAAAATAATATGAATAACAAATAATTGATAATAAAAACAATGTTAATTTTTCATTCAATCTTAAGAAGATTTAACCCTCTAGAAACAGTATAATTACTTTGACTTTTAATTTCATTAGAGAGATATGAATTAATTTTTGTTCCAATTTCTTCAATATCATTCTTTTCTAAAATTATTTTTCCATTTCTCCAAATTTCTTTTACAGTCTCAATTCTTTGAGAACCTTGAGCTCCTTTTGTGATTCGAGAAACAAATATATACCCTAATTCAAATAAAAGGTCTATCAATAAATGAAGTCCTTCACTAATTTTATATGTCTCCATTCTTCTCATAGCAGTTTTTATTGAAACACCATTTTCAATATCTTTTTGGAATAAGTCATTACATCGATGTTCTACTACTAAATTAAATAAAATAGAATCTTTTCCATGAACTAAACGATTAATTCTTAATAATTGAATAGCAACATTTGATCTTTTGATTGGAGGAAGTAATTCAATCTCAAAATAATCATTTAATAATGCAAGAAAAATACTTTGTTGAGCAACTTGGTAATTTCTTTTTTCTCTAAATTGGTACTTTCTTTTATACCCAGTTTCTTTTTTCCATTCTAAACTAATTTCTTTTCCTTTAGAATTCTTTATTTTATACTCTAAATGAATATCATTCTTATGTAGTGTCTCTTCGGTTTGCATAGTTACTTAATCAAAATCAATAATGATTAGTTCTATCTAGAAATTAATAGGGGTTTATTATTTTTATTTTTATCTATAGAAAAGAGCTTTAATTATATAATGAACATTTTTTCATGCAAAACTGAGGTTTGATCTAATTATAACTTAGTGTTTCAATTATACTCTTATTGTATAAATGAATAAAGACTAGAAATAGGGTTGTTGTTGTTTTCCGTCTTGGGTTGTAAGTTAATTGTTTTTTTATTATTCATGTTGGGTTGAATATTTTGTGTCATTATGAATATTCTTTCAATAAAAAGAATGTTTGAGTATTTTTAGCGTTCTTCCAATAAATTGTCTTTTGTTTCTTATTATATCTTAATTAAGATATATGATTTGATGTACAAAAACTAAATTCATTTATTTGACTTTCATATGATAAAATAATGTAACCAATAATCTTCAATTTTTTTTTTGACTTAAAAAAATCTAAAGAAAATCTGACTTTATCAATAAAAAAAAGATTGAAAGAACTTTGGATCATCACAAAATGGTATTATCTATTCAAAAGTATTTGCTAAATACTAAATACACAAAATCAGAATAATAAAAAAAAAGAATGGATTAATGAAAATGAGTTTCTAATTCAATAAATAATTGTTCTGTTTCTTTTAAATCATTTAGTAAAAGGTCATTGATTTTCTAGTATGTTATTTAAAGTTTATATTAAGTGTAATAAAAAACAAACTTTTGTCATTGAAATATTTTGTTGAGGTTGGACTTCTTTTTTATTTGTTGCATTCATAGTATAATTTAATTCTTCTATAATGGGTTCAATAGAAATAAGTGGTGTTATTGGGGTTGTGTCTTCACTTCCTAAATGATGATTCATTAATTCTGTGATTTTATTATCTAATATACTTGATATATAATCTGCATATGAGTCAATAGCCTACGGTATTGAGTAGAAGTATTTTTATTTTATTATTACTAATTCAAACATTATATATAACATTGGCAGATGTTACTTTAATATCAATAAGAGTTTCTTCTAAAGCATCAATATTTTCATCTATTGCTGTAGAAATGACTCCTCTCATTTCTCTTTGAAATGGTGGTTCAATTTGTGTTTGTTCCATTTTCTCTTTTTTAGTTTTTCTTTTTTTTTTTTAGCTATTCATAACATATAATGTAAATAAAAACATTATTTTTAATTGAAAAATATTAATAAATTCTTTTCAATTTACTTCAGATAAAACTAAAATTTTTAGAGTCTCTAAAACTTACAATAAAATATACAAATTAATAAATTTAAAATAATTGATTAAATAACTTATATCTGAGTAAAAAAAAACTATTTTAATTTTCTTTATTAAATTTAAAGAGAATAGCTTGTTTAAAACTATAGTTTTAAAAACATTTTGTAGTGAAGGATAAATAAAATTTTGTTATTTAAGAATTAATTAATTTTGTTTTTATTATAACATTAGTAAAAAAAAAAATAAATAAGTAGAAATATGATGAAGACTTTTAGTGGAACTACAACTTGAACAATTGATAATGAATGATATATAAATGAGGTATTGAATCTAATTATTTTTAGAGAAATGAAATAATTAAAAAAAAATAAAAGTTATCAATAGAATAATTGTTTTTTTTTAAATAAATTCTTTTATTTAAAAGTATGTTTCAAAGTTATTCAATTTGAATTGGTTAATTTGTCAGTTAGAAAGTGAATTAATTTTTTGTTATATTAATTTTAATTTTTATTAACAACATAAAATAATGTTATATATTACACAATAAAAACTTCAAGAAAAAGAATTAAATAAAAAAAAATAATAAGAGTATATTTGAAATAAAAACATAACAATAAAAAGAACTATAGAAAAGAATAAAAACAAAAAAGAATATTTAAGCAGAATGACATTTCCAAACATAACAAAAGAAAAAAAAAAAGAAGGAAATTCGTCAAGAACTACCATTTAAAGGAAAAGAACTTACAACTCAAAATCATTAAAATATAAATGCAAAGATTAATTCCAGTAATTAATAGTTTACAAGACGTCTTTACAGCTGCAGGTCTTCCAAACACATTACCTCTTCCACAAATTGTTGTTGTTGGATCACAGTCATCTGGAAAGTCTTCAGTATTAGAACATGTTGTTGGAAAAGACTTTCTTCCTCGAGGTTCTGGTATTGTTACTCGACGACCACTTATTGTGCAATGTGTTAGAAGTAATGTTGCTGAAGACTATGGACAATTTGAACATACAGGTGATCGTAAATTTACAGATTTTGGAGAAATAAGAAATGAAATTACAAGAGAAACTGAACGTACTTGTCCTGGTAGAAATGTTTCAAGTGTACCAATTAGATTAAGAATATATTCATCTTCTGTTGTTGATTTAACATTAGTTGATCTTCCAGGTTTAGTAAAAGTTAATATTAATGGACAAACAGCAGAAATGGTTAAAAATTTAAGAGATATGGTTTATGAATATGCATCACCAAGTAATGCTTTAATTCTTGCTGTTACTGCTGGGAATATTGATATTGCAAATTCTGATGCCCTTCAAGTTGCAAAAGATGTTGACCCAGAAGGAGAAAGAACTATTGGTGTATTAACTAAACTTGACTTAGAAGATAAAGGAACTAATTCAATGGATGTTTTAATGGGAAGAGTATATCCATTAAAACTTGGATATATAGGAGTGGTTAATAGATCACAACAAGATATTAATAATGGGGTAGATGTTAAAACTTCATTAAGACATGAAAAAGAATTTTTTGAAAATCATCCAGTATATTGTTCTATTGCTGAACGAATGGGTACAGAATATATGGTAAATAGACTTAACGTTCTTCTTCTTCAACATATTCAAAAATGTCTACCTGGATTAAAACAACAAATTAATCAATGTTATGAAAAGGCAAGATCAAGATATGAAGACATTAAACCAGATGATGAAAATCTTCTTTCATTATCACTTCAACAGATTATGAAATTTTCTGGTTCTTTTGCTGCTGCATTAAATGGAACTGATACTAATATCCATACCCATGAAATTTCTGGAGGTGCAAAGATCTTTAGTGTGTTTGAAAATAACTTTAGACCAACTATTGATAATCAAGACATTCTTTCTGGAATTAAAGATGTTGATATTTTAACAGCTATTAAAAATGCAAGTGGAACTCGACCATGTCTTTATGTACCACAAAGTGCTTTTGAAAATCTAATTTCTAAACAAGTTAGAAATTTCGAAGGTACTTGTCATAATTGTGTTGATAATGTTTATAGAGAAATGAAAGTTATTGTAGGTAAAATCGCTAAAGACAATATTGAAAAATATGATAGATTTAGAGAAGCACTTATTCAAGCATCAACTGAAGTAATGAATGATTATATGACTCAAACACATAGAATGGTACAAGACCTTATTGATATTGAGGCAGACTATATTAATACAAGTCATCCGGATTTTGATACAACTAAAGTATTAAAAGAAGCTGATGATGCTATGAAAACTCCACAAGATGGAATTGATACTGTCGTCACCATTGACCCAAATAACACAAAGAACGTACAACAATATGAGGCTAAAAAACCAGTAAAATCAAGTTTCTTTGCTGGACAAATTAACAAAAATCAAGCTAAACCACAACAACAACACGTTCCAAAAGAAAGTATAACAACCAGTATTAGAGTAGATCATACTAATCAAAGAGAAATGAGAGAAATTAATTTGATTAGAAATTTATGTAAAGATTACCTTCTTATTGTTAGAAAAAGTATTAAAGATCTTGTTCCAAAAGCTGTCATTCACTTCTTAGTATTTAAAACAAGAGATAGTTTACAAAAAGAGTTAATTAAAAAATTATATAATGAAGCTTTATTACAAGACCTTCTTGCAGAAAATCCTGCTATTGTTAATGAAAGAAAAGTTGTCAAACAAAATCTTGAAGCACTTAAAAAGGCATTAGATATTATTAATCAAGTAAGAGATCAATGCTTCTAAAAAATTACTTTAATTTGAATGTTATTTTCAAGTAATTTTATTCAATATCAACTTATTTTCAAAATTTCTTAAATTTTAATTTTTGTTATTTATTATAACATTGGAATATTTTCTTTTACAATAATAAAATTCTTTTAATTTAATCTTATAAAAATAATGAAAGAAAGTGTTCTTGTTTTATGAAAGATACATAAACCTCCTCATTGGTTGTTCTTATAAATCATTTGAATTTGAAAAAATAATAAAAAAAGAGTTGTATATATTAGTATTATTATAATTTATCTTTTCTTGTTTTAGTTTTTTGTATTTATATTAATTATACAGAAATTAATAGTTGAAAGAAAGAATTTAACTCTCTAATAATTAAGTCAAACAAGATATAAAATACAATCAATGAAAAAGAAATGACTTGTTATTATTTGTTATTTTTATCAACAACTATTTAATTGATTCTTTTATATAAAAAGATTTCTATTCAAAAAAGAAAAATAAATATATGTCATTATTAAAGTAAGAATAGACTTTGTAAATATAAAGAAAATATATTTTAAAGTACAATCATTCATTTTATATATAGATAAAATATCTAGACAAATTGTAATGAAAGATAGAATTATTAAAAATAATGGAAAATGTACTTTATATTCTTGTAAAATATTGATTGAAACATAACATTAAGGTAATTTTCAATCTTATGGATTTTGTGACAAGAATTAATTTTTCAGTAATAAGGAAAATTAAACAAAAGATAGAAAAATGAAATATTCAATATTAAAATAATTAACATAAAGAATATACAACAATAACTTGTTAATAATACAAATTAGAAAAACAAAATGCTTTAAGTTTATGAAATAGTTTTAACAAAGAAAGTATTTGTATGAATAAAATAAATCGTATTAAATTAATACATCAATATTAATTAGATTAGACAACTTTAGTTTTAATAATCACTCACAATAATGTTTTTGTTATAAAAATAAAAAAAACCATGACAAAGCAAAAAAGAAGTAAGAGATAAAATTTAACATCTTCAAGGCAATACACAATAAAATAACAATTACTCTATTAAATTGCTTTCAATAAATAATACTCTGTACTATATGTTAAATAAATATAGGTTTTCAACTTAATTTGAAAATCTGAACAATCAATTATTACTAGTGTCTGGATAAAATGAAGTATCGTTATTTCCATTAAATGAATAATGTTGTGGTGAAAATGAATGTGGTGAAGATGTTTGGAAATGAGGTTGAGAAGTAGTATTATCTGATAATGGAGGTTGAGAAGTACTAGAAACACTTTGTTGATTTATTTGATTTGAAGCAGAAGTAGGTATAGGAATTGTAATAGGAGGAGTGGGTAATTGTTGAAATTGATTAGTGACATTGTTATTTGAAGTATTAAACTGTTGTTGAACATTGTTTTGATAAGCAGATGCAGGTTGAGCGAAAGTTTGGAAAGGTTGTACTATTTGTTGTTGAGGGTCCGTTTGAACAGATGTATTAATTCCAGCAATTAAAGATACTAATTCACTAATTAAGGCATTTTCTTGAGGATTAAGACTTGATATAATTCTTAATAACTGTGGAATTCTTTGGTTTTGGGGAAGTTGTTGATAAGAATTAATCAAACCAACCAAAGGAGAACATAAAGGATTGACATTAGTTTGTTGTGTCAAATCACGTAAAATTGATTGTTGGTATTGTAATATTTGTAGTACAGATTCTTCAGGTTGTTCATTAGCATTTTGTAAAGCAGCAGGTTGTATTTCTATATTTTGTTGAGAAGGAGAAGAAAGAGACTGAATGACAGGAGTTGATACAGGAAGATGAGACTGAGTAAGAACTTTACTCTTTTGTTCTGGTTTAATAGAGGAAGGAAGTTTAGGAGGTTTAGAATTTCTAAAAGATTAGTATAAATACATGTATCTATAAGAATAAGAATAAATTAATATTAAATATATATAATCAAATAATAAACATTCTATTAAATAGTACAAAGAAATATTTTATGCAATATTTTATTAAAAACTATAAACAAACGGTACTTTCTTTTTACCATCAGCTTTTGAAATAACTCTAATAGGAAATGAATGTAATGTTGCGATTTGTTCTCCTTTTTTATTTGTTAATTTAAATATTACTTTAAATAGCATATCTTCATGTTGACTTGATAATACTAATATACGTACATCACATGTTATTCTATTTGGTGAAGATAATTGTGCCGTAAATGAAATTGGTTTTTGATTAATATAATGAACTTCCTAAATATAAATTAATATTTATTATTTCCTGTTTATTTTGTATGTTCCTTTTATTAACAAACAGTTAATCCATCATTATCATATACTAATGAACAATCAACATTACACCCTTCTAATATAATACTCTCTGATGAGATAGAAACTATAAATGAACTTTGCTTTATTACTACATGAACTTCTTTTGTTGTCCCATCTGCTTCAATTCGTTCTTCTTTTGGTAATTTATGTTGACAAGTAACTAAAAACTGTCCTTGATGACTTGTAGTATCTTGCATACTGAAGAAGTAAAAAAGAAAATATGAACTTAAATTTACCCTTTCTCTTTTTTTTTCTTTTCTTCACTTTTTATTAATTTTTCTATCAAAAAAAAAATCTTCATTAATCAAAACATTTTATAAAATCATAAACTATCATAAGAGCAGAAAATGAATTATCCACTATAACTACTCCACTATTATTACTCAAATAAAGTTATGTGTAATGTCATTATTTAATAATACCAGTATCACTCATTATTATAGTGTATATTATTCTGACTACTATGACTTTATTAAACGTTTCAAATAGTAAATAATGTTATGAATTATTATAAGTAATATAAAAGAAACAAACTAAACAATATCAAAAAAAAAAATAAACAACAAAACTAACAATAATAAAATAAAAATTGTTATACATACAATATTTAAAAAAATTGTATTAAATATAACAAAAAGATAAGAGAAAAAAAATAAAATAACAAAATAAATCAATAACAATAATATATCAATATTTCATATCATTAAATTATAACTGAAATTAAATTCATTAAAAATAATTTATTTAAACAATAAATATCAAATTTCAAATGATCTATTTTTACTTACTTAAAACTTGAAATAAACTTTTTAGATTGTTTAAATAACAAAAAAAAACATAAAAATAATTTTACAATAAGAAAAACAAAAAAAGTTTAAAAATAAATCAAATTTATTGATGGTATTTATTATCTAAAGTTACTAATACACGTAAAATTGTGTAATTAATAATAAAGACAATAATACTTACCATAATAATCACAAAATAATGAGTACCATCTAGTGAATTAAACCATCCTTTTTTTTCTTTAGTAGTGTATTGTTGATTGTCATTACTTACTTCTTCTTCTTGTATAATTTCAATTGGTTTTTGTTCTGTTTTTTTTACTTCTAGGGCATTCATTTTAGGGATTTCTTTAGTTTCAGGAAGGATTGGAGGAATAACATTTTCTTGTGGCTTTTCGTTTTGTTCTTCATTAGATTGATTATTTTCAACAACACCTGTTATACCAATAACAGGTGGTTGGGTTTTACTTTTGCTGATTTCTTTATTGGTTTTTGTTTCTTCTTTAATTTTATTTAATAGTTCATCATTTCCTTTAGGGATTGGCTCATTTTCAATAATACTATCACCTAGAGGATCATTTAAAATTTTTTGTTCAAGTGAATAGCTAATCGGACCTATACTCCTTTGAGAGTTATTAAGGTAATCATATATATCCTCAGGGTCATAACTATTTAAACTATCTTTGTGATTGTCTTTATTGATATTTAGAGACATTAACTGATTTATTAGATTTAAGTTATTTTCTGATTTTGAAAGAAAATGGTAAAAAAGACAACTAATAGACATATTCGTAATTAAACTTTATTTAAATTGAATGTGTGACTGTCTTATTTATTTAATGTCATTTATCCTTGTTATAGAATTTATATTTATTATTGATGTATTAGAAAATTCTTCTTCGAAAAGCATTGTTTTTAATTTCCGATGTAAAACATTTTATCTTTCATATTTTTAATTTTATTATTCAAAACAAAAACTAATATTCAAATATGACACATTCATTAATATCTTAATTTTAATAAAACAAATTCAAGTTACTTCATTTTTGAGGGACTACTCTAAATATAAGATTATCAGAATTTTAGGTTTAAAACATTAAAAATGTTGCTAGTTATTAAAAATAAAATTAATACGTCTTGTTAAATAAGATTACTGAAACAATTTAAATTGTTTTATGTAATGAATATAATTTTTGTGATAATGAAATATTAGACTTTATGTATTGAAGAAGTTAATAAGAAATTTGAAATTTCATTTGATATATTAAAAAAATAAGATGTATTTTATTCTGAATAAAATAAAAATTATTTTAATTCAATAATTAACATTCTATACTTTTATTTTACTAATATAATGACATTAAATAGGATTAGTAACTAAAATTAGAATTATTTTGTTTTATGAATGAAAAAAGATAGATAAAAACTGGTAGTTAATGAAGAATAACCAAAAATAAAATAGACAAAAAGGATAGTCTTTTTGAAAATAGTTGCTAGTATTTCCATTTGTTTCAACCTGACTATAATAATTAAATAAAAATTTTAATTTAACCATATTTGATATATTGTTTGTTTGATAAAATTAACAAAAGAATTCTTTTTACTCAAATAAATTTTTTTTTAAAATGAATGTTATAATAAATTAATTAAAATATATTAAATAGAACATTAAAACTGTGACAATTTCCTCATTGACAAAGAAAAGACAAATAATAAAGAAAGTATTTAAAATATGTTCAATAAGAGTTATTATTTAATACTTAATAAAAGACATTAATAAATAATGACTAGATTCTATTTTTATTTGAAAATAAAAATTACTATGTGATATTATAAAACATTATCTTTCTTTCATCTTTATTGTAAAAATTGTAAAGATTAATGATAAATAATATATACTTTCAAAAATATATTACTAGTTGTATACTAGTTGATAAATTAATTAACAGAATACTTGTAACTACGAATAAATATATAATTACTAGAGTATAGAATATTTCATTATATTAAAAAGAAAATTAATAGTATTAATATTTGATACTATGTAGAATACCTTATTGTTTGTGATAAATTTTATATTAATAAAAGCATTAATGTTGTAAATAATAATAAAATATTCACTTCATTATTGGGTTATATAAAAATAATAATTATATTCATTTTTCAAATTAAATTTATAATGAGTTTATTATAGTTAATATTATCTATCGTAATTCTATTAATCATTAGTTCATTAAAAATAGTTTAGCTAAATGTTTTGATATTAACAATTGAATAATTATTATAAAAATTTTACTTTTAAATGACATAAATAACAAAATGTATGTCCAATTTATTTTATTCATTTTTGTATTATACTTTAACAGTTCTTCTGATTATTTGACACTATTTTTTGGGTACTTTTTATATTCTCTTTTTATTTACATTTGTGATAAACAACATTTCTTTCTTGTCGTACTTTTGGATAAATTATAAATGGAAGATATATTAAATAAAAGATAATATAACTAACATAACATTATGAATTTATTATTATTATTTAAACAAATACAATTGTAAACATTAAATAAAATACTGAAAAACAAAACAAAAAACCTCTAAAAGTATTTCCACAAAAAAGAGACATAAAATTTCTACAATTAAATAATAAAATTATATATAAAAACCAAGCTAATAAATTAATTAACTTTAATTAGAAAGACTCTATTTAATTATTAAAAGAGATTATTGAAACATTCATATT